GGAGGGCAGCGGGTCGAAACGCATGCGACTGTGCTAAGTCGATGGGAAAAGTAAAAATAACAGGCGTAATTCAAAATGGAGTTGACCGCGTAACGTCGACTGAGGAGATAGGAATAAGCGACTCGAGCCGGAAAGGGAACTGACCGCGCAGAGTGGAACGCGACAAAAAAATGACTGCGGCCGAAACTGAAACCGATCGTTTAGAGTGTGGTGAGAACGCAGGAATAAGGAGCGCTAATCTGCGTCAAGAGTCGAACGGACCGGGTAATCAGCACAGTCCCGTTGACGACTTATCACTAGGGACCAGTGCGGGAGACGAAAGCCGTAAATCAAGTTGGATGCGGGCTATGCAGCAAATGGCGTAACGAATGGAGTCACAATTCCCACCTCTGAAAAAATATTCGGGAAAGAGAGAGGAGTCGCATGAAATTTAATAATTTTATTGAAGAATTTAAATTGAGGTACGGATACGAAACGGATGCAATGAAAATCTGCTACTTGCATTTCTATTTGATGGGATTTATGCTGGATGCCTGTTTGGATTCAAGGAATTTGTGCAGGCGTTAAGGGAAAGCAACAATGGATTCTCCGAGGATCATCCGCATAGGGTTGCCAAACAATTTAAGCGGAATGGAGAAAGGGGAAGAGCTGATTGAGCTTTTTGCGTACATCAACCGGAAGGTCGTAGCAGCTTATCCTGGCACGATTTATAGCGATCCATACTTCATAGGCGAGAAGTGTGGGACCGCAATATAGACTTTGATAGTTGATGAAGAGGCTGACGTAAGAGTAATTACAGCGATATCCCAGGCGAAGAATGGAGGACTGCATAAAGCCCTGAAGGAAGTCGCACTGAAGTATGAGAGGGCGAGAAAGAGCGTAAGAAAAGCGTCAGCATCCAGAACATACCCCTGGACGTCTGCCTCAGGACGAAGTAGCCCAAAGAAAGGTACACGGCCATCAGAAAGTAGTAACAATAAATGGCCAGCGCACCGACTGCCGGTACGAAGATGCGTATTTTGCATTATTCCCCACAGGTTTTTGTCGCTAACGGCACCGGTTTCTCCAGCAGATGCTTCTAACTAAAAGAACTGGGACTTGTCCCCGTAAAATTTAGTTTTCTAGCTTTCTTGGTTCCCAAGTTAGCAGCTCACTCGAAAAAATTCTCATTGGCAAAACCACGCGCATGTGGGAGCTGATTTTGAAGTCACTTGATTGTGTGTGGAGGGGGATTACTCCCTTAAAATTACAGCCTTCTAGCTTTTCTAGTTCCCAGATTAGCAACTTGCCCTCAAAAAACTTCCGCTGGCCCGTATGTGGAAACCACGCATACTCGGAGTTTTAGTTTAGGCTCATTAAGACCTACGTGTAGGGACAACATCCCCTTAAAATTCCAGCCTTCTAGCTTTTCTGATTCTCGAGTTAGCAGCTTGTCCCTCAAAAACTTTGGCGAGCCCATACATGGGTACCACGCGGGTGAGAGCGTCCATTTTGGGGATGGGGCCCGTATATGCATGTACATCAAGTTCCCAAAGTTCCAGCCTTGTAGCTTTTGTATTCTGTAAGCCTCGAGATGAAAAATCGGTACAGACGAACACACAGACAACCGCTCGTCAATATGCGTCCTCTGCACTGTATAGATGCAGAAAACGCATAAAAAGGCTGTAAAGGGTGATGATCGGAGTTAGAAGGGAAGAAAACTGGGTGGAAGTAAAGCGGTTCGGCTAAAAGGAGGCAATTCAGAACAGAGGTCGCCAAAAGAAGTGACCTGTTTTATCTGTAAAGGCAAATGCCACGTGGCGAGAGTTGTCCGACAGCAGCAGTTTACCGTCTGTCAAAAGGTAAATGAAGCTCAGCGTCGCAAGGGGAAAAGAGTACCCCCGATTACCATTCGGGTACAGAAGTTGACAAAAGACAATGAGCCAGACCCGGAAAATAAATTATTGGGCAGAAGGTTAACAGAAGAAGTGATCTGTTTTGTCTGTAAAGGCAGGGAGCACGTGCTAAGAGCCTGCATTACGGCAGCGGTCTATCATATGACAGTAGGTGAAAATGGAAAGGCTACACGCCGTATGTAGAAGGGAGTGCAGGCTGCTGAGGTGCAACTGGATCATTTACGTAGGGTTCTGCAGGAAATATCTGAGGGGAAGTGTCCAATGGGAAAAACTAGACAGCGGTGAACATACGAGAAACATGTAACGGAGAACACTTCCAGGATGATGCGTCGGAAAGGCACGCGTTTTGCCGCCGAGCTGCTGTGAAAAAAAGTAATTGTCCTTGAAAGTGTTTTTTCAAAGTGTTTTGTTGACAAGAATGCAGTTTTTCACATGAATTGTTTATCCGTATTTACTGCTTCTTTAACATTTTGTTTACTGTGACCGTATCAAAGCAATAGTTTGATTACAGAAAGACGATAAGGTATTTTTAAATTGAGTACATCTGCATATGTGCTGTATACTGCTGTAATCGGTGTCGCGCAACGTGGACGAAGCACAGCGCTGGAGGTAGCTCAAAGGAAGCATTAGATGTTCAGTCGCAAAGAACTGAAATGAGAAGGCAAGCCGTGGAAAGTTGAAAGGAAGCATTAAAGAGAAAGGAAACTATAAAAAGGATGACGCGTGATTTTAGAAAGGAAAATTGCCAGTTACTGAAGACTGCGTTCAAAAAAAGATTCGAGTTCTGAAAAGAGTTTTTGTATACGGGGAGTCAAGTGGACGGATGGATTCAAAGTTTTTGATCGCGAGTGAGACTTGAGTAAAGATTAAATTTGAGTTTACTTTAAAAGGCAGATTTAATCTTGAACACGAAAATATCGAAAGGCAACTGAATGGCATCTGAATATGATTAGAGGACTTCGCCTGAAATGAAGAAACAGCTGCGGGAAAGTAATAAGGGCAGTACGACTTTGAGCAATAGGAAGAAAAAGAAACAAAGGAAGACTGAGAGGTAGGAAACCGAGCTCAGGCGAAAAGCTAGCAGCAAGGAAACGAAGATGGTGGCTAAATCCACTTTGCCTTGTCCAGCGGCTCTTCGGTTCCCTGTTATATGCAAATGTCCTGTCTCTTGACTCTAGTTCCTCTTTCGTGATATTCAGTGTGGTGATTAGAAACGAACTTGGAATTGTTTTGTTGAATCAAAAAATTGTGCGGCGGCAGCTTGGAGCTGCTGTCGTTCTTTCGCCCCTCCGCTCTCCACTGCCCAGTAGCAACTTGGAGCTACTGCCGGGTTATTTCGTGGTTTGTTTGTTTTCTTGACTTTTTTTTTGGTTTTGCGCTGCTTTACCAATAAAGAATTGTTTATTAATTTGGAGTGCGTGCCTCTCACAGTCACGCAGCCGTCAACCGCTCTCTTTCTGATCGTTACAGCTCACATAGTCCAAATCCATGCTAAAAGGATACCAGCAGTGCTCCTACGGCAACTATTAGAACTCGGCCCGGCTCGGCCGTCATTAGAGGCGCTCTCGTTTCTCTGCTAATGCTATTTTGGAGCATCGCTTGCCAGCACTGCTTGGCGTGGTGCCAGCGAGCGGTGGTTAGTGTTGTTAGAGCGCTACCCGGCGCTCGATGACTGGATGACGTGGTTGGGGGTGGCGGATGATGGGTGCCTAGATGCCAGTCGGGAATCAGGAATTGGAGACGGTGTAGAGGAGCAGAAAACTTCCATGTGCCCGTACATGAGTGTTACGTGTGCCTGAGCGACGAGTCTGAAATCTTTACGTTGTACTTGAACGGGGAATATCCTGTTAAAACTTCAGCTTTCCAACCTTTCTGTTTCCCGAGTTGGCAGTTTTCCCGCTGAAACTTTCACGTGCCTATAAGTGAGACGTGGACGTATATGACAGCTGATATCACGTCCCTGGAGTCGCAGTTAGCCAAGGAAAACAATGGCAAAACTTCAGCATAAAAGCCTGCGTGGCTGCTGAGTAAAAACACCCGGACAGACGAACACGCACATAGACAGAATCGTCGCAATGTGCGTTTTTGCTGTCTATTGCAGCGCTCTAGCGCTGCATAGCAAAAACGCATAAAGAAGTACAACTGCCGCAAGAGGCAAATTTGCTGGTAAACACGTTCATGCATAGTGACATACATACAAAGCAGGATCGCAAACATGAACAAAAATATGGATCTTGTCTCGGGGGTGGACTCCTTTTTGCAAACAGGTATGGTCCGGAATGGAATTAGGCCATCTGTGCTCAAATCCAATATGGGACGTGCTAAAACAGTGCACACCTCCAATCCTTGCGCTTCACACAGCTGCCAGAACATCTCCATAATGTATGTATGTCGTTGCATGCGTACTCAGTGCCTAATGCTAATTCTACAGTCAGCCCGCACTTTTTTCAATTCATGCCGACTTTTAGCAGGGCTTCCGCGTCATAGACAAGGCTCTCTTTTGCAAATGGGTATGGACCGTGAGCAAATTGAACCACTCCTTTCCGTACTGGATACGACGTGCTAACCACTGTATCACCGGCCCTTGCGCCAAAGGATCAACGTGATAGCATTTCTACTGAGGCTCTGCTTTTTAAATCAACATCACTGTGAATCTGGCTTTTAAAGCAATATAAAACTTACCTTTTCTTATCTGCCTTCTTATAGACAGTATGCACTTTCTTCTCTTTACAACGGATTCTCTGCCGACTTTTACGGTTTTTCTGCGATATTTTGCAGCATTGTCTTTTTAAAACAATTATGTGTGGACATGAAATGTGGTCGCTGGCAAAAGCGGAAGTGATAGAAAAGCAAAAGTAGAGAAGGAAAAAAGAACATCCTCCCGAATTAGCAGAGAAAATGGAACATAAAAACACAGAGACTACATAGAGGACGTCGTGCTGATTGCACCAAAGTAAATCCTACTCAGCAAAGCGTCTTGTCCAATCCGCCGAAGGTGGGTGGACGTGCTGTATCAATCAGTGGTACGCCAGGGGAAAAAATAATCGCTCCGTAATTTCTGAACGATGACGAGCATGTTTTGAGGAAAGCTCGAGCACACGATGCTCAAGAAAGGCGAGCAGTGCGTGTGGGTAAATAACGGTAAAAATGCAAAGGCTTATCGCCGATGGTCCATTCAACGTTTATAATGTAATTCAAAGAATTAACAAACGCACCCGCTGTAGCTCTCTTTCGTCCTTTTGATACGGTATCAGTTGCATACGGCAAAATAATGTGTTCTTTATTCAGCGTACGTGTAAGAGCTGCTTTAACCTGAAAATTGCATTTTCCTTCTCTTTACTCGCATCCTGTGCAATTAATCAAAATTCATTTTCCAGGAAGACGGCGGCAACATATTAACCGCAGCCAGTGGACTTGAAACTCATCTTTCTCGTTCCCACGGACATAATAGCATCGCTCAAATGAATGATGTGACGTCCACGGCATCATTAAAATTTAGTTAAAGTTACCGCGAGACCTCCAAATGTAATTTTTTGAAGCTCTTCTAAACAGTGTCACATAAGTACCTTTGTTGGAATGGCTGCTCCAGAATCAATGATGCCTGGCCAAACTGCTAATTCAGCGATTGATTCTGTATCATTCTTGATAAGATTATACTTCTTATACAGCTCGATGACTTCGCTGCAAAAAGACACGTTACAAACGCAGATCACTTGAAAAGTTAGCGCCATTTTGTGTGACATTGCAGACTCCATGAACCAGACTATGCAGAAACATGGTGATACTTTCTGTCTCGTCAGATAGCTGAAAACCAATCAGAAACATCTAGTTCTCAGTCAGATTTGCTCCCATCTCGTGAAGACTACCAAATCATAGACCAATTCATCCTAAATATGAACCGCAATTTATCCGAAATCGCCCAGTCACATTTTG